GGAGCGTCTAAGATCAAGAATCTGGTTGTTCAGCCAGGGTGAACTGGAGGCACTGGAACTGCGGCTGGTTTTGTAAGGGGCGACCTGATCCAGCATTTTGAGGCAGTGATCATTAAATGAGTTGGTAAGGAGCTCTACGTCATCAGAGGAAGGAGGTACAAAGTCAAAGAGGGAGGAGAAATTTAAAATGGTAGAACTGTTGATAATACGTCTTTGCTTAGCAGAGACTGGTAAAAGAGATTCAGAATTTAGGTTAATATGAAAAGAAACTGACTTATGGTCACTGAACACAACATCATGTATCTGCAGCTTATCAACAAGAAGTCCGTAGGAAAAGACCAGATCCAGGGGGTGGCCTGCTCTGTGAGTGGGACCAGACACGTGTTGAGAGAAGTTAAAAGAGTTCATCATGTTTAGGAACTCCCTAGTGGAGCTGTTAGATAGATCCTCAGCATGGATGTTGAAATCTCCAACAATGATTATCCTGTCTAGTTTAATAGTTGAAGATAGGAGATCCTGAAAGTCAGACAGGAAGGATGAAGTAGATCCAGGTGGGCGATAGACCAGAATTCCATAAACTGGTTGAACTCGACCAATTTTAATCATGATCATCTCGAATGAGCTGTAGGAGTTTGAGGATATAATTTGTCATGAAAAGTGTTTCTTAAAGATAACAGCTGTTCCTCCACCGCGGCCTGTGGTCCGTGGAGCAGAGAAGAAAGAGCAGTCTTGGGGACAGAGCTCACGGAGATGAGTGACATCATTTTCGCACTGCCACGACTCAGAAATCCATAAAAAGTTTAATTTTTTGGTCCGGAACAGATCGTTGAGAATGTGAGACTTGTTGGCGATGGAGCGCGCGTTAATCAACATCATTTTCGCTGAGGAATCTGGCGATGTGGGTGCCGCGGGCTCGATAATGGCGGGCGGCTGGCGGGCTAAGCTACGTACCGACTCCAGGCTACGCCCGTGGAGGTTCTTTGTCTCCCAAGCCTTCTGGTAGCGTCCCGCATCAGGGGCTCCATTTAGCAGCGAGATCAGCCCAACTCCATTAAGTTTCTGTTGGATCCGCCACAACACAGCCACAGAGCAGCGATCAGGCAGAGCTTCGCCTCTCAGGATCTTTCGAAGCTGAACGAAGAAGCCGGCTCTCTTCCCCCGTTTCCTCTTCCATGGCCTCCTGGGCAGCGGCAGGCCGACAGGTAACAGAGGGCCGAGACCTGGGTTAACGCCAGGTTCCAGAGGCGGTAGAAAAGCGGGTCCAGTATTGGAGTTCTGGAGGTTGATCATTGCGGACCTGATCGACAACAGTAAGTCTCGATCATATGTTAGCAGGGACTCCGCACCAGATAGAGAAAAAACAATAAAAAACAACAAATAACCAAAACAGATCAGGAGCCTAGCAGACGCACAGCCACTCATGGGCGCCATCTTGCAGAAACGCTCGTCGAAAATTCATGCAGCGAGCAGCGTGCGAACCCCGTTAGCGATCCGCTTTGCAGCTGATGTGATCCTGGTGTAAGTTTGAACCCTCAAATGGTGTTGGGGTCATCGGATTAGTGAAACAAGGTTTACTCTAATGTACATGGGGCTATTTCAATGCTAACAACTTGTGGATATATTCTAATGCCTCTCATTGGGTACAAGACAACAACACTCGAACTGGTAGAGCTTCATGGGTCGTTTGACATTTTGACCACTACAGCAGAGATGAGGTGTACCCGTTTTAAATGAGGATGGGGCCCATAGAGTGTGCACCGTGTGTTTTTGGGTGTGTCTTTACAAGAAGTGGCTTTCTGGCTTCATGCCCTTCTGAGGTGTGTGTTAGGGTTACCTATGTGCCCTAGAGGACAACAAGTGCTGGAAAAGTTTCATTATGACATTGGCTTGTTCACATTGGTGACCACTGCAAACCCCCTGTCCTCATCATGTGCCTGCTTTGAGGAGGTCAGGACTCTACGGACCACTTTGTCTGGATATTATGCTGGTGTGGTACAGCAGCAGCTCTTCTGACAGGAAGGCCCTGCACACAATCAAAACTGCAGAGAACATAACAAACGCACACGTGCCTGCCCTGGATGACATCTTGACCACTTGCTGCTCAACCCACCCTGCTAGCCATCTCTTCAGACTTCTTCCATCTGGTAAACGATACAGGGCCATAAAAACACACCACCAGGCTGTTAATCAGCTTTTATACAAGAGCCATCACTGAACTGAATGTTGATGCTAGGACGTCACACTAACAGTGATTCTGCTGGGCAATCAGTGCACTACAGCACCTTTACATTAAGCTAGCTAACCCTGATACCGCCACATGTGACTGTTTACATTTATATTATGTTTACTTTAGATTTCAGTTTGTAGTTTACACTTGTCTCATTACCATGTTTACAATATACTTTTACCTTTTTGCACCTTAAGCTGGCTCTGTGTGTGTGTGTGTGTGTGTGTGTGTGTGTGTGTGTGTGTGTGTGTGTGTGTGTGTGTGTGTGCGTGC